ATTGAAGGGATTCCTGGAAGCTCATGTCTCAGAGAAATACAAAGAATTGTACTCTCAAGTACAGCCCACTCTTTACGAAGGGCTTTATCTATGTAAAATATTTATTTATTTATTTTATATGCGGAAATTGTCATGATGCCATCTCTAACCTTAGGTTCCTGGGCGGGACCCGGAAAGAAATGTGTAAACACCAGAAATCAAAGGAAATAAAAATAATAATAGGTTAATGAATTGTTGTGCCTTTTCGAATTAACGTTAACGTTATCATATGACATAAAGTAGAAAGACTATTTTGAATCCATTGGTAGGTCAGCTGCTAAGAAAGTTGCTTCACTGTCTTGTGTTATAAAGTGTTTCTCTCCGGCATCTTTCTTGTATATCTATAAGTCTGTCATTCGTTCATGTTTAGCCGGTGGGGGGGGTTGTAAACGGTAGTGTCAGAGCTATGCCGCCCGGAACTTTGTTCCTGGTAGGGCCACCCAAGGCGGACAGGTCTGACACACACGCCGGCTAACAAGGGCTCTGGTGAAAATCCAAGGAGCGTCTGCATCGGTAACCGGCGGCTTCTGGTCGTTCCTGTCTCTGCGTCTGTGGGAAGCAAGAACGTTATCCGAGTAGGCCTGGGTAACCTACTTCTGTAATTTATCCCAAGAATCTTCTTCTCATAACAGGAAGAAGCCGGCTCAATCCGCCCAGGGTGAATGCCGCATCAGTAGAGTCAGTACAGTACATGTTTAGAATAAATAATAATATGTTATATGGTTCGGTACCACTGCTATTTCCCTTGAGCTCCTTGGTAAAATCCAAAGAAGAATCAGCAGTATTTTTGGTCATGATCTGGCAGCTCGGCTTCAGTCACCTTCCCACCGCCATAAACTTACCTTCCTGTGACTTTCTATAAAAACTTCCATGGTAATTGTTCGGGTAAGCTCTTCGCTATGATGCCTAAAATCTTTTAATTTGGGTGCAGTCCTGGATTGGCGTCAAGATCTCATCAGTTTAGAGTTG